CACCGGCCTGCTGCCTGCACTCAGATGTGGTGTGGAAGGAGCTCACCACCACCTCCCAGCAGGCCGCCCCAACTTCTGCAAGTCTCGGTTGCTTCATCTGGAGACCGAGCGTGTGTCTGCTCACAGACACGGGGTTGTTGTGAGCATTGGGTAACAAGGTCCACGTAAGTGGCGAGGGCGATCACATGACACTGTTGCTGCGGTTCCTGCTCCTACCACACATGGGGAAGGCGGAGACCAGACGTGAGAGCCTGGTGCAGGGCCTGGCCGATCTGCTTCGGTGTTGGCTCTGAAAGGTGACCTGGAGAACCAGTTAAACCTACACTCTACAAAAAAGACACCTACACTCGAATGTTTATAGCAGCACAATTCACAATTGCAAAGCTGTGAAAACAACCCAAGTGCCCATCAATTCATGAGTGGATTAATAAAATGTGGTCTATGTATACCACGGAGTACTACTCAGCTCTAAGAAACAACGGTGATATGGCACACCTTGTATCTTCCGGGCTAGAGCTGGAACCCATTCTACTAAGTGAAGTGTCCCAAGAATGGAAAAACAAGCACTCACCAGCAAACTGGTATTAACTGAGCAGCACCTAAGTGGACACATAAGAAATACATTAATCGGGTGTTGGGCCGGTGGGAGGGGGAGGAGGGGGCGGGTACACACATACATAATGAGTAAGCGTGCACCGTCTGGGGGATGGTCACGCTTGAAGCTCAGACTTCTGGGAGGAGGGGGGCAAGGGCATTATTTGAAACCTTAAAATTTGTACCCCCATAATATGCTGAAATAAAAAAAAAACTTGCAGCAGTGAACAGCTGGGAGGGGGTACAGGGGCTGGGGGAGGGAGGGTGAAACCCCAGACTCGACCTAAGAAAAAGGAGGAATAGATGTGGGGCAGGTCAGGGTGGCTGGAAAGCTGGCAGGAGGCGTCCAGCGTGCAGGACTGACTGCAGATTCCAGGAGCCGTGTTTGACGGGCACCTGACCCCCGTGCGTGTCTCTGCGGACCGTAGACATGGCAGTTAGGGATGTGGACAGGCCTCAGGGAGCACTTTCATTCAGCTGTTCCCTGCAGGCAAATGACTGGTTAGTGGGGCAGAACTGGGACTCAGACAGCCAGGGGATGAAATCCCAACTCTCTTTCTTTCTTTCTTCTTTTTTTTTCTTTTGAGACAGAGTCTCACTCTGTTGCCCAGGCTAGAGTGAGTGCCGTGCCATCAGCCTAGCTCACAGCAACCTCAAACTCCTGGGCTCAAGCAATCCTCCTGCCTCAGCCTCCCGAGTAGCTGGGACTACAGGCATGTGCCACCACGCCCGGCTAATTTTTTCTATATATTTTTAGTTGGCCAATTAATTTCTATTAAACTGTTAACTTCACTCCATCCCCATTGTATATATAGATGAGGGAACTAAGGCTCTCTAAGCACCTTGCTCAAGGCAACACAACTAAGAAAGAAAGAGTTGAGGGCCGGCCGAGGTGGCTCACACCTATAATCCCGGCACTCTGGGAGGCCAAGGCAGGAGGATTGCTCGAGGTCAGGAGTTCAAAACCAGCCTGAGCAAGAGCGAGACCCTGTCTCTGCTATAAATAGAAAGAAATTAATTGGCCGACTAATATATATAGAAAAAATCAGCCGGGCGTGGTGGCGCATGCCTGTACTCCCAGCTACTCGGGAGGCTGAGGCAGGAGGATCGCTTGAGCCCAGGAGTCTGAGGTTGCTGTGAGCGAGGCTGACGCCACGGCACTCACTCTAGCCCGGGCAACAGAGTGAGACTCTGTCTCAAAAAAAAAGAAAGAAAAAGAACAGCAACAGTGTATTCTGGGACAGTCCTGTCGGAGGCCACGTGGCCGTGGCCGGCCCCTTTGCTCCAGGCCTCACCCACATGAATTCAGCTGTCAGCAGCCGCATCTGTCCCCGAGGCTCCGGGGCGAGTCTGCTACAAGCTCACTCCAGCTTCGGGCAGAATCAGCTCTACGTTGGCAAAGGACTCAGTTTCCCCGCTGGCTGTCAGCAGGGTTGTGTGCGCTTCCGGAGGTTGCCCACGTACCTTGGCCTCCTTCGAGAACCCCAGTGGTGGGCAGAGTCCCTCTCCTGACTCGAAGCTCTCTGAACTTAACGGCCTCGCCCGTCCTCCGACTTCCTCTGGCCTCACCTCCTGCCTCCTCTCCCAGACTCCTCTTCCTTCTCCAGGCCCAAGTAGGTTCCACCGGCCCCTCGGATGACCCAGGGTGATCTTCTGTAGAGTCGGCTGATTCCGGCCGTATTCCACCTGCAACGTCTGCCACAGCAGTGCCCAGGTGGCGCTTGATCGTATAACCAGGGGTCAGGAACCTTTAAAAACGCTACCCCCTTCCCCAGCCCTGGCCCAGCCAAGACTCTGCCCCCTGCTGCAGCCTCGGCCCCACCTGTGCAGAGGTGCAGAGGACCAAAGCCAGGCGGGAGAAGCCCTCACAGAGGTGGTGGCCAGGTGGAGCCGGGCGGGGGATGGGGGCACACAAGCTGGCCGTGAGTGTGGGGCAAGTAGCAGAGCACAGAGAGGTCACGACGGAGCTTCTGAAAAACCATGCTCCGGGTGAGTCACTATCACGGTGCCGTGCTCAGGGCCAGACGTTTTACCTACAACTCTATTGAAACTGATGACTGGTCCAGGCCTGTCATCCCAGTGCTCTGGGAGGCTGAGGCAGGAGGATCACTCAAGGTCAGGAGTTCAAAACCAGCCTGAGCAAGAGCGAGACCCCGTCTCTACTGTAAATACAAAGAAACTAATTGGCCAACTAAAAATATATATAGAAAAAATTAGCCAGGCATGGTGGTGCATGCCTGTAGTCCCAGCTACTCGGGAGGCTGAGGCAGGAGGATCGCTTGAGCCCAGGAGTTTGAGGTTGCTGTGAGCTAGGCTGATACCACGGCTAGTCCGGGCAAGAGAGTGAGACTCTGTCTCAAAAAATAAAATAAAATAAAAGTAAAGTAAACTGATGACTGTATCTAACTGCCCTGGAAAACAGGGCGCTTACCCTGTGGTACAGATGGGGAAACTGAGGCCCAGCGGGGCAAACCACTTGCTTAGGTCGAGTGCCGGTCTGTGGCAGGGCCAGAGCCAGACACTGGGCTCCGAGGCCCGGGCCGGTGCACCCGCGTCTCACCAGCCCAGAGCCCCTGGTCCTGGGGAATGAGCCCCAGAGGAGGGGCCCAGCAGGGCCAGGTGGGGGACAGGGCCTGCATGCAGGGCGGGCAGTCCTGACCCTGCAGGGAGCAGGACGGGCAGGGGTGAGGCATTCCAGCGCGCCTGGAAGGGAGGGCACTTTATCCCAAGGCCAGGGACTCGCCTTCCAAGTAGTAACCAACCGTGCAAGGTCTTTTCCGAGACATTTGCCCCAAAGCACAGAGGGGTGGTCACGCCGGCAGGGGCCTCCTGACGTGGGTGGAGCCGCCCACTGACAACGTTCTGCTCTGCCTGAAAGACAGTCCGTCCACCCGCTGCAGGGAGGAGAGACTGTCCCTACCCAGAGCACGAGGTCAAATCCCAGGGGAGAAGTCCAGGACTCTCAGGGCCTGGAGCCTGAGAGCTGGAATCTGGTCTGGAGCTTCATGGATGAGGACTGAACTCTGATCTTTTTCTTTTGCTAAAAACTCCTTCCTAAGGAGGCCGGCTGGGTCAGGCTGACAAATAGTGAAATCTGAGTCTAAGCGGCTTTTGCTCTAACCAAATAAAGCAGTGTGTTACTTCCCAACCTGATTCTGGTATGGCATTAACATCACCTACTAAAGATAGGAAGCCCCTGTCTTAACTCAAGCATCCTAGCAGATGGCCATCATAAATTTTAAAATATTCTGGTAACTCAAGTCGATCCTAAGCAGATGCCATACTTGTAATTTAAAGATTCTCCGCTGTCTGGACTCCCAGGTGCTGCACTACCCTTATCTTAGAAGTAGCAGTATCCTTTCTGGTCTTCTAAGATAAAGCTCTAACTCTCTCAGCCAATTGAGCCAAAGAGATCTCCCTAAACCCACCTATAACCTGTAAGCCCCCCCCTTCGAGATGTCCCACCTTTTTGGGCCAAACCGAAGTGTAGGCCTCATCACGTATTGATTTTGTGGACTCTGCCTGTAACCCCTGCTCTCTCCGGAAAATGTATAAAACCGGAAACTGCGACCCAGCCACCGGGAGGTCACCTTGGCCCAAGGCCTCTTGGCAGTGCGGCTCGGTTGTCCATGGTGGGCCTACAATTTGCTCGCAATAAATCTCTTTAAAATTATTTTAAAGTCTGGTTTTTCCGTTGACAAGGAGGAAACACCGTTTGGCAGGGAGGAGGCCCGGAGAGCCCGCACTGGGCCCTGGGGCGCTGGGCCGGCCGAGCGCGCCTAGCGGGCCGCAGGGCGCAGGGCTGCAGCAGGAGCAGAAAGGGCCAGCGCTGGCTTGCGCACGGAGGGGAAGTTGCCACCTACTCTCGGGACCGCAGTTTCCCCATCTGCGAAACGGGGGGTCAACAACGCGCCGGCCGAGGTGAACGGGCCGGCCCCACGGTGCGGCTCGAGGGGGCAGCCGGCGGCGGTTGGCCGCTCCGCTCCTACCCGCAGAGCGAGGCCGGCGGCGCAGCGGCACGGTGCGGTTCGCCTCGCAGCCTCGGTTACGCAACACCCAGCCCTGCGCCCCGCGCGACCTCCCGCCCGAGCACTGAAACGCCCGAGGTGGGGAAGTGGCGGGGGCGGGGAGGACACGGCTCCCAAAGGCGCCTGGTCCCGGCTGTGCGCCCCTCCCGGGCGGAGGGGCCGCCGGAGTCCGGCTAAGGAGGCCAGGGCAGGGGCGGGGAGCGGCCAGCCTGCCCCTCCCGGCCCCGCCGTGGCCCCACGGCCGCGCGGCCAGCCTCGCCCTTCCTCGGGGCGGAGCGGAGCGAGGAGGTGGGCGGTGCAGGGGCGCAGGGGCGGTGTCGCCCCACCCCGGGTGCCCCGCGCTGCCCCGCCCGCCGCCCCGGAGCCCGCGTCGTCCCGGCGTCCCCGCGTTCCCGAGCCCCGCCGCCGCGATGCGCGCCGTCCTGCCGCTGCTCTGCGCCGCGGCCTGGCTCCTGGGCGCGCCCGCGCTGTCGCTGAGCCGCTCAGGTGCGCGCGGGACCCGCGGAGGGCGGGGGCGGCGGGCCGAGGCGCAGGGTCTCTCCGCGCCGGCGCAGGCCGGGGTGGGCCGGGCGGGGTCTCGGAGGCGGGCGTCTCGCGTGCCGGAGGGGCAGGGGGCTGGGTGTCCGGGGTCCCACCTGCCAGGCGGCGCCCGAGCCCCGAAATAACCGCAGCAGCCAGCGGCCCTTCTGCCTCCCAGCTCGACAGAGGACTCTGACCTGTCCCTGCCAGAGGCCAGCAGGGACTTTCTAGACTTTGGGCAGCTTCCCCGGGGGACTTGGCGCATAGGGGTCCCCGCACAGGTGCCGTGAGCGGTTTGGAGGAGTGGCTCCCTGCGCGCGACAGCGCCAAGGGACCGGGTCAGACCGACACGGTTCTGCCCCCCGGGGCGCGCATGGACGCCCCGCAGGACGCCCCGCTTTGGCCAGGTCAGCTCTAACCCACCCGGCCTCTTGCTCTCGCGCCCCTTCCACTGCCGGGGGGACCCGGGGCCTCCCCTTCCCCGCAGCCTCCCTGCGCCCCCGGCCCCAGCGTCCGCAGCCCGCGGGCTCTGAGCTCAGAAGACCCCTGCCGTCTCCCGCGCGCGCGTGGGGGCAGCCTGGCTCCAGTGGGGACCGCGGGAAGCCCAGCCGCCCGGCGCAGGCCGCCTGGCGAGGACGGGTCCCCCTTAACTCCAGAGCGCGGCGCAGCACACCTTGCTTCTGTAATCCACCGGACTGTGAACGATTTAGGCTTTGTGGGCTGTACGGTCTCCGCAGTGACTACCTAACTCTCTGCGCGTGTACGGTGGCCGCGGCCACAGGCGGGAGGTGAGGGAACGCGCGCGGGACTGTGTTCTAACCACCACTTTATGTGGACCCTGCAGTCTGAGTCTCAAGTGATTTTTCAGATGCTACAAAATATTATTTTTTCCTCCCCAGAACAATTTAAAAGTGTAAATACAACCCTTTGTAGTTCATGTAGAGAAACAAGCAGCATGGCCAGGTGTGGAGGCTCATGCCTGTCAATACCGACTAAGGCAGGAGGATAAACTGAGGCCAGGAGTTAGAGACCAGCCTGAGCAACATAGTGACCCCCCACCCCCGTCTCTACCAAAAAAACCCAAAAAACCCAGACCGATGGCAAGCTACAGTTTCCTTGGTTTCCTTTTTATTATTATTATTATTATTGTGAGACAGGGTATCACTCTGTTGCCCAGGCTAGAGTGCCGTGGCGTCAGCCTAGCTCACAGCAACCTCAAACTCCTGGGCTCAAGCCATCTCCTGCCTCAGCCTCCTGGGTAGCTGGGACTACAGGCATACACCACCATGCCCGGCTAATTTTTTCTATATATTTTTAGTTGGCCAATTAACTTCTTCCTATTTTTAGTAGAGACGAGGTCTCGCTCTTGCTCAGGCTGGTTTCGAACTCCTGACCTCGAGCGATCCTCCCGCCTCGGCCTCCCAGAGTGCTGGGATGACAGGTGTGAGCCACCGCGCCGGCCAAGCTGTAGTTTTCTGACCCTGCTCTGGATACTTCCTGACAGCCCCCAGGCGGGGTTCACAGAAGGTCCCTTTGGAAAGTCACAACTGGACCAGAACGGGTCTATCTGAGGTTGGGCCCCGTCCCCAGCACCCTTCTGTCCCTGCCCCCGGAGTCGCCTCTGCATGTCCCTCTGCCTAAGAATGAGAAGTGGTTAGGGGAGGAGCTGTCACCCGAGGTTATGGCACCTGCAGGTCCTTCAGAAATTCCCCTGAGGAGAGAACGTGGTTGTTCTAAACCCCACCCTGCCTCAAACCCAGGGTCCTAAATCAAGGTCTCTTCCTCTGGCAAGGCCCCAACCGAAGCTGTGGTTGCAGAAAAGAATGTTAAGCACTCTGGGAGGCCCTCCTGGGCGGATTGCTCCAGGTCAGGAGTTCCAAACCAGCCTGAGCAAGACCCTGTCTCTACTAAAAATAGAAAGAAATTAATTAGCCAACTAAAAAAAATATATATATATATACATACATATATACAAAAAATTAGCTGGGCATGGTGGCGCATGCCTGTAGTCCCAGCTACCCGGGAGGCTGAGGCAGGAGGATCCTTGAGCCCAGGAGTTTGAGGTTGCTGTGAGCTAGGTTGACGCCACGCACTCACTCTAGCCTGGGCAACAAAGCGAGACTCTGTCTCAAAAAAGTAAAATAAAATAAAATAAAAAATAAAACCCTCAAGACGTGAGTCTTGGGGACATGTATTTTCCCTCCCAGGAAAATAGCCACAGCTCGGTTTCTGGAGTAGGTCTGGGAGCCAGAAAGGGGGGTGTGAGTGCCGTATGGCCGGGAGCCACACGCTAGGGGTGGGGCGGGTCCCTGGGGGCACCGAGACATTCCAGGGGATACAGGCACAGTTAGTGTTCTGGGAATCAGTTTCCAGACCGTTTACCTCCAAATGTCCTCTTTGCTAAAACCAGGGGTGGGCAGCTTTTTTCTCATCCATCCTGAACCTGAACCTGTGGCTAATGAAACCTCAGGGGCAACACACAAGAAGACAAAGGGTAACAAATCCTTCATCAAGCCTGGTGGGCTCAATTCCTCAAGGAAACTGAGTTTGAAGGATAGAGGATCTCTAGCACCCAGGGAGGCCAATGCGGGAGGATAGCTCAAGGTCAGGAGTTCGAAACCAGCCTGAGCAAGAGCGAGACCCCCGTCTCTACTAAAAAAATAGAAAGAAATTAATTGGCCAACTAAAAATATATAGAACAAATCAGCCGGGCGTGGTGGAGCATGCCTGTAGTCCCAGCTACTCGGGAGGCTGAGGCAGGAGGATCGCTTGAGCCCCAGGAGTCTGAGGTTGCTGTGAGCTAGGCTGACACCACGGCACTCACTCTAGCCTGGGTGACAGAGTGAGGCTCTGTCTCAAAAAAAAAACCAGCATAGAGGACCTCACCAGAGTATCAGCTGATGCGGCCTTAGACTTAACATTGCGTGACAGACACCATGTGACTGGGCAGAGGAAGGAGCAAAGAATCAGAAACACTGCCTTCCACTCCCCACCGCCTACCTGAGCAGGACTCCCGGCCCTTCTACCAATAACAGACAAAAGTAAGAACTAAAGCTGAACCCTGTCTCAATCCAGCGATAGGTCATACTCACCCGGGAAGGTATAAATGCCCGGCGAGGGTGGGAGAGGCAGTAAAACCCTAGTAACGTCTCAACTAAGAGATGCATTTCCAGTGCGATTTTATTTTTATGTCTAACAATTACGTTTCGTAATGTATATTTGAAATGTTTTAACTATCCAGTTGACGAGCACTCATAATAATCTGGATTACTCCAATCCAGAATCAATTTTTTTTTTTTTTTTTTTTGAGACAGAGTCTCACTCTGTTGCCCGGGCTTAGAGTGAGTGTCGTCGGCGTCAGCCTCAGCTGCCACAGCAGCGCTCAAACTCCTGGGCTCACGCGATCCTCCCTGCCGTCAGCTCGCCGAGTAGCCTGGGGAACCTAACAGGCCATGGGACCACCGTGTCTGGCCAATTTTTTCTATATATTTTTTGTTTGGCCAATTAATTTCTTTCTATTTTTTAGTAGAGATGGTCTCGCTCTTGCTCAGGCATGGGTTCTTTTGGAACTCCAGACCTTGAGCGATCCTCCCGCCTCCGCCTCCCAGAGTGCTAGGATTACAGGCGTGAGCCACCGCACCCGGCCCAGAATAACTTTTTATCATTTTCAGATGTACCTCCGTCCCAGGAAGTAAAAATAATTGAAATTTATACTTGTTGTTGTTGTTGCAGAAAAGAATGTTAAGGTGATCAAGTGTAAAAATGTATGCTCCCTCAGGGTGAATTTCTGTTAAGTGAGGCAAAGTGGTTTCTGCAAGGAGAAAAAGAAACTTGTAAAAAAGGACTATCAGCGAGAGTGTGGTTCAAGTGGACAATTTTTTTGTTTTGTTTTGTTGGTGTGTGTTTTGTTTTTTTGTTTGTCTTTATTGTTTTTTTGTGTTGTGGTTGTTTGTTTGGTGTGATGACCATCGAGCAATACATGACACACAGAAACAGATGATATAAAGCAAAATAGACTGGAATGCATACTTTTGCAGCATATTAAATCTAAAACTGAAAATATCCGAATTTAGATAAGAATGTACAAGGAGGGATAGGGCAGGAACCCCAAAACAAGTGCCGGCCCCGCATTTTTATTTTTTTTTTTTTTTTTGAGACAGAGTCTCGCTTTCATTGCCCAGGCCAGGTGAGTGCCATGGCGTCCAGCCTACTCAACAGCAACCTCAATCTCCTGGCTCAAGGCGATCCTCCTGCCTCCCAGCGACTCCCAAAGTAGCTGGGACTACCCAGGCATTCGGCCACCATGCCGCTATTTTTTTTTGTGTATATTGTCTGGCTTAATTTCTTTCTAATTTATAGTAGAGCTGGGGTCTCACTCTTGCTCAGGCCTGGTTTTGAACCTGACCTCGAGCATCCGCCCGCCCATCGGCCCTCCGAGAGCTAGTTGAAGCGTGAGCCACCGCGCCCGGCAGGCGGCCATTTTTGGTAAAGTTTTGTTGTGTTTCCTTTTCATTGATGCATACTATTCCTACCTATTTATGGGGTAGTGTGATTCTTTGTTTCTGTGAGGTTTTGTGGGCACACAGGCCTGCCCATTTATTTTTGCATTGTCTGTGGCTGCTTCGGGGCTGTGAGGGCAGATTGAGCAGTTGTGACCTTACGGGTTGCAAAGCCTGTGATACTTACCCTCTGCTTCCTTTAAGAAAAAATTGCTGGCCCTTAGGGTGTATGGGTTCTTAATTAAACTTCTTATTGAAAAATTACTTCTTCCTATTTTAATTAAGCATCCATTCCGGCCCGGGCGTGGTGGCTCACCACTTGTAAGTCCAGCCTCTGGGGAAGGCCCCCGAGGCGGGAGGATTGCCTCAAGGTCAGGAAGTTGCGAAACCCCAGCCTGGCAAGAGTGAGACCCCTCTCTACGTCAAATGAAGAATTTTGGCACTGAAAACATACTACTAGAAAAATTAGCTGGGCATGGTGGCGGCATGGCCTGTAGTCCGCAGCTACCTTGGGAGGCCCCTGAGGCAGGAGGGGCAGGTTGAGGCCGCAGGAGTTTGAGGTTGCTGTGAGCGAGGCTGATGCCACGGCACTACACTCTAGCCTCGGCAACAAAGTAAGATTATTCCAAAGAAATTAATAATCCCATGAAAAGTGCACAAATCATGAAGCATGCATTTCAATGGATTTTCACCGATCTGCACACGCTTGGTAGCGTAGCACGCCCAGGTGAAGCAAAGGCCCACAATTACCAAGCACCCAGAACCTTCTCTGCTACCCCCTCTTAGGGGGTAAGCGCACTGTCTGACTTTTAACCCACCGGGGCGGACGCCAGCAGATTAGAACAGGCCAACATAGCCTTTCTTCAAAATTCACCTTGGGTACACAAAGCAAGAAAGTTTCAGTTCCTGTTTATGTTCCGCATTATGACACCGTTTTCAGTGTTTTCAAATTTAGCCTTGTTTTCCAACATGCAAACCAGTTCTGTGGACTCAACATCATCACCAAGCATCTGGGCCTAACTTTTTTTTTTTTCCCCCTTTTTTACAGAGAAGTTTCACTTCAAGTCATGGATGGTACAGGTCAGTGCCCTACTTCTCCTTTCTCAGTTTTTCATGTTGCAAAGTTTCCTATGACAAAACCAAACTGCACCAGATTTGAGAGGGATGAAGAGGGATTTTCCAACCTTGCCCCACTGGGTCTTTCCAGACTTCGGACTGGCCCGGCCGTGGGGAGGATGCAGTTGAGTAAACTCCTTCCAGACAGCCATCCCCGGGGTCAAGCTGGGTCACCAGCTGTCCACGCCCTGCGATTCATTTCCTAGTTTGCATTCAAAGCACACCTGGGGGAATATACATTAGTGCAGCCACTGTGGAAAATAGTATGGAGCTTCCTCGAAAACCCTAAACACAGAACTATGTGATCCAGCGATCCCACTGCTGGGTGTATATGCAAAAGAAAGGAGATCAGTGGACCAGAGAGAGAACTGCACTCCCGAGATCACCACAGAACTATCACAACAGCCGAAACGTGGCCTCAACCCGAGTGCCCGTGGGCGGATGGACGGATAGAGGAAACGATGTGTATACTCTTCCGCTACGGAAAAGAGCGGAATCCTGTCGCTTGCAGAGATGTGGGTTGGAGCTGGAGGTCACTATGTAAAGTGAAAAAAGCAAGCGCAGAAAGACAAATACTTGCATCTTGTGGACAGTGGACTCCTGGGAAGACTAGTGGGGAGGGAGACGAAGTGAATTTGATTAAGTGGTACAAAAATGCAGTTAAATAGATGAAATAAGACCTAGTGTTTGAGAAACCAACTATGGTAAACAATGACCTATTGTGTGTTTCAAAATAGCTAGTAGAGAATAATTCGAATGTTCCCAGCATAAAAAAAAAAAAAAGATAAATGCTTAAGGTTATGAATATCCCAACTACCTGATCTGATTATCACACATTATATGACTGTATCAAAATATCACATACACCTCCAAAGATATGTACCAATTTTTAAAATTAGACACACTTTTTAAAAAGCACATTGTGTACTGGCTACAGAATCAATTGGAGAACACCGGTGAGTGTGCTTTCGAAAAATGATGATTTTTGCCATAAACTTGACCCAGCACCAGCCGTGGAGGCCAGGGGTGACCTCAGGTCCCTGCACCAGGACCTCCTGGACTGTGGCTGACATTCCGGAAGCCTCATGGTCTTCACTCTGGCCACAGGCCCTGGCGGCAGGGACCTGAGCTTTGTAATGGAGTGGGGACTGAGGGTAGTGCCGTAGCCACTAACACAGATTTGGCCTGAGAATCATGGCAAAGAGAAAATCTTCATCCTTCCTCTTAGAAAACACAAAAGTCCTGGTGTGGTGGCTCACACCTGTAATCCTTGCACTTTGAGAGGCTGAGGCAGGAGGATCACTTGAGGCCAGGACTTCAAAACCAGCCTGAGCAAGAGAGAGACCTCTTTGGCCGGGCGCGGTGGCTCACGCCTGTCATCCTAGCACTCTGGGAGGCCGAGGCGGGCGGATCGCTCGAGGTCAGGAGTTCGAAACCAGCCTGAGCAAGAGAGAGACCTCTTTGGCCGGGCGCGGTGGCTCACGCCTGTCATCCTAGCACTCTGGGAGGCCGAGGCGGGCGGATCGCTCGAGGTCAGGAGTTCGAAACCAGCCTGAGCAAGAGCGAGACCCCCGTCTCTACTATAAATAGAAAAAAATTAATTGGCCAACTAATATATTTAGAAAAAATTAGCCGGGCGTGGTGGCGCATGCCTGCAGTCCCAGCTACTCGGGAGGCTGAGGCAGGAGGATCGCTTGAGCCCAGGAGTGTGAGGTTGCTGTGAGCTAGGCTGACGCCACGGCACTCACTCTAGCTTGGGCAACAAAGCAAGACTCTGTCTCAAAAAAAAGAGTGAGACCTCCATCTCTCAAAAAATAGAGAAATTAGCTGGGCATGGTGGTGTCTGTAGTGCCAGCTACTCGGGAGGCTGAGGCAGGAGGATCGCTTGAGCCCAGGATTTGGAGGCTGCAGTGAGCTGTGATGACGCCACGGCACTCCAGCCTGGGTGACACAGTGAGATCTTGTCTCAAAAAAAAAAAAAAAACACAAGAAAGAAAACAAAAGTCTCCCTCCTGGGAGCTGCGTTCGTCGGTGGCTGTGACTTATCGCTGATGTGCTCTGTTTTAGCACAAGAAGACCTACAGCTCCCGGGAGTACCCCCACAGGATGCAGACCTTCGCCAGCAACTGGAGGAAGATAAACGCCCACAACCGCAGGAACCACACCTTTGAAAGTACTCGGGCACCTCTCCTGCACGGCTGGGGGAGGGAAAAGCATGTGGGGTCTGGAAGGGGCTCAGTGTCCAGGCCTGATTCTCCCTGGGACATGGACCGCAGGTTCAGGGCACAGTGGCAGCCCCACCCAGGGGTGGTTGTGAAGTTTACGAAGGGGCTCTGCAGAGGCCCCTGCCCGGTTCCGGCCATCTGCGGGTTCAGTCCGGGTGCCGTGGGGGCCTCGCCCTTCAGACCCGCTTGGAGCCGGGAGCAGCCTCCAGGGCGGGACAGAGGTGCCTCGGCTGCGGATCAGTCTCACGAGAAACACGTGCACGTACCTGGCGTGTTTGCTGGGGACTCAGAAATGCCAGCAGCAGCTGGGCGGGCGCGGTGGCTCACGCCTGTAATCCCTAAGCACTCTGGGAGGCCCAGGCGGGAGGATCGCTCGAGGTCAGGAGTTGGAAACCAGCCTGAGCAAGAGCAAGACTCCTGCCTCTACTATAAATAGAAAGAAATTAATTGGCCAACTAATACATATATATATATATATATATATATATGTATATATATGTAGCCGGGCATGGTGGCGCATGCCTGTAGTCCCAGCTACTCGGGAGGCTGAGGCAGGAGGATCGCTTGAGCCCAGGAGTCTGAGGTTGCTGTGAGCGAGGCTGACGCCACGGAACTCACTCTAGCCTGGACAACAAAGTGAGACTCTGTCTCCAAAAAAAAAAGGAGCCTGTCATCAGCACACTTGGGACCAACAGTCAGGGGTGGAGGGGGATGGTTCTTATACCTACAGTGTTTCTCTCTTGTGGATTGCACTTTTGCACTTTTTTTGGTCAGAAAGGTTTTGGGGCCTTTCTTATTCCTGAAATGTAATGTGTTTGGTTGTTCCAGAATTGCTCCGCCACCAAAAGCAACTACCTTCGGGGCAGGGGTCCCTACCCACCTTCCATGGACTGGCGGAAAAAGGGAAATTTCGTCTCACCAGTGAAAAATCAGGTAGGCACGGGCAGTCCCCACCCTTTCCCTCCAAGAACAACTACATCCCCAGCCTCCATGCCAGGAAGAAAAACCCCAAAGAGCCACAGAACCACCTCAAGCAAATCCCCCACTCTGTTTTTTCCTCACCTCCTCTCCCGGGCTAGACTGCCGCGGCGTCAGCCTAGCTCACAGCAACCTCAAACTCCTGGGCTCAGGCAATCCTCCTGCCTCAGCCTCCCGAGTAGCTGGGACTACAGGCATGCGCCACCATGCCCGGCTAATTTTTTCTACATATATTATTAGTTGGCCAATTAATTTCTTTTTATTTATAGTAGAGACGGGGTCTCGCTCTTGCTCAGGCTGGTCTCAAACTCCTGACCTTGAGCGATCCTCCCGCCTCAGCCTCCCAGAGTGCTGGGACTACAGGCGTGAGCCACCGCACCTGGCCGGAGCTTTCTCTTTGCTGGGCTGCAGTTTGCTCCCTCCCCATCCACACACAGACTTCCTGTTGGGCCCAGGTCTCTCCTGCAGCCACCAAAGCTCGTTCTGTGCCCATCAGAGATTGGACACCAGGCTCCACTCCTGCCGCCCCACGAATCACCTATGCTCATCTCCTCCCTCTCTTCCAGCCACCAGGGTCCGGCCCGTCCACTGGGGGCTGCCTCCTTGTGGTCAGGGAGTAGAGGGTTTCCCGCCACCCTCACCCCTGCGGGGCGCATGGCCCTGCCTCCCCGAGCTGGGAGCTGAGGATAGGCTCGCTGGGGGTGTGGGGTCCTAGCACACGCTCCGCTCTTCAGAGATGGACCCCACCGATGGCTGCTGTTGCTCTGCCCCCACGGTTCTTCCCCGAACAGGGAAGTCCCCAGCAGCCTTCTTCAGAAAGATTCCGGCCCCGGCCAGGCCCGGTGGCTCATGCCCATAATCCCAGCACTCTGGGAGCCGAGGTGGGGAAGGATCGTTTGAGCTCAGGAATGCAAAGACCACCTGGGCAAGGCGAGACCCGTCTCTATCAAAAATTAGAAAATAGTCGGGCATGGTGGTGCATGCCTGTAGTCCCAGTACTCGGGAGGCTGGAGGCAGGAGGATGGCTTGAGCCCAGGAGTTTGAGGTTGCTGTGACTGTAGGCTGATGCCACGGCACTCACTCTAGCCCGGGCAACAAAGCGAGACTGGTGTCTCAAAAAAAAAATTATTGGCCAATAATATAAACTAATAGAAAAAAAAAAAAAAGAAATAGAAATCCTGTGAGGGCTTGTTTTATGGGTAGGTCTCATTTTTAGGGAAACATGGTATTAAGTGTGGAAACCTAAACCTGCTCACCACGTAGACAGGTGGGAAGGGGAGGCCCCCAAGAACTTTCTAAGTCATCCTGTTAGCTGATCCCAGCCAGCAGACAGGACCTGGGCTCAGGGGCAGGAGCAAAGTGTGGGTGGTGTCTCGCTGAGGCCTCTACGTGGTGACAGGTGGCAGAGGGGACTTGCCCAAGCTCCACAGTACGCAGGTGACAGACGGAATCCAAAGCCAGATCTCGGCCGGGCGCGGTGGCTCACCCCTATAATCCTAGCACTCTGGGAGGCCGAGGTGGGAGCATTGCTCGAGGTCAGGAGTTCAAAACCAGCCTGAGCAAAAGCAAGACCCCTCATCACTACCATAAATAGAAAAAAATTGGCCAGTCAACTAAAAATATATAGAAAAAATTAGCCGGGCGTGGTGGCGCATGCCTGTAGTCCCAGCTCCTTGGGAGGCTGGGGCAGGAGGATCTCTTGAGCCTTGGAGTCTAAGGTTGCTGTGAGCGAGGCTGACGCCATGGCACTCACTCTAGCCTGGGCAGCAGAGTGAGACTCTGTCTCAAAAAAAAAACACAAACTAACCAGGTCTCACTCCAAGTCCAGTGCCCGAGGCTCAGCCCCACTCGGCCCCCTTCAGCAGTGAGCGTGGTCTCCCCCAGTGGCCACGCCGGCCTCCCTGCTGGGGAGGGTTTGGGGGAGGAGGCTGGGGCCAGCAGGAAGGTTCTGTGCAGGGGGACCAGCGACGGCTGGGCTGGGCAGTGCGGGGAGGCAGGACGGGGTCCAGGGCATCTCGGGAGTGGACAATGAGAGACAGAACAGGGAGGAGAAGAGAAGAGAGAGAAACCGTCTCAGCAGCAACGCTGGGCGGCTGCCCGACAGGCAGCTCTTAGCTCTGGCTCCGGACGCCCCAGGAGGCCGGTGTCCTTCTCGTGCCTGTTTTGCAAATGACAAAGCCGAGAAGGGCAGTAACTTGCCCAGGTCACCGGCTAGCGTCTGAGGAGCTAGGACGCGAACCAACCAAGCGGGCTCCAGCCCACGCCAAGCCCTCGCGCTGTGTCCTGGCAGTGCCGGGAGCCGGGCCGGGCCACCGCCACAGCGACTGTGGCAGGAATTGGTGGGACGGGTAGACGGGGCGGGACCCCCGAGTCCGGGGTCTGGGGGACCCCTGGACAGGCCGCTCTGGCAGGCAGTGAGGGGCCCAGGCCTGGGTGCCGGTCAGGGCTGGGGTTCGGGGAGCCGTTAGCTTAACAGTTAGGACTGCGGGCAGAGTGAGATGGGCGGCGGAAAGATGAGAGAGAAGGTTCTAGAAACGGAACACTGGGACATCTTTCTGCTGGGGACAGCAGGACAGAAGCAAGCAGCAGATTCAGGAGGAGGAGAGCCGGAAGACTCTAGAAGGGGCTGGGGGGGGCTCCAGGCCTCCCGGAGGGTGGGGCTGGCCAGCAGGAGCCAGCTCCGGGGGCCACGGCGCCGGTCAGGGGCTCCTGCTCCCCCGCTGCCCTGCAGGAGGGTGCAGCCTCCCAGGTGCTGCCTCGGGGTGTCCCAGCTCTGACCTCCTTCCCAGGGCGCCTGTGGCAGCTGCTGGACCTTCTCCACCACGGGGGCCCTGGAGTCGGCGGTCGCCATAGCGACGGGGAAGATGCTCTCTTTGGTAAGCGATCAGCCGGGTGAGAGGCCTCCTCCTGCAGTTCTCGGCCTGCCGGGGACCAGGCCAGGCCACCTCCCTCGGTGCCGCTCAGTGGACCTCGGGCGTCCCAGCCCTTGGGCGTGGGGCGTGAGGAGGGAGACTGGCGCTTTTCCCAGATGGCTTGGCCACCCGGGGAGGGGCTGGGGCAGCAGAGCCTGCCTGGCAGGCAGCTCTCGGGGGCTGTGCCCTTCCCCAGCTGCCTCGGTGGTCCTCGTGGAGGGAAGGGCTGGGACTGGGACATCCACCCCTGACCCCCGAGAGAGAGGTCTGGCCTGGAAGGGACCGACCCAGCCCTGCCCCTGTGGGAGGAGGGTGCAGGGTGAGGCTGCAGAGGTCACAGGTGGGGGAAAGGGGGGCAGGGTCTCTGGCAGGGTCCCCGCCCCCCACTGTACACCCCTGTGTGATCCCTGACCTGCACTGAGTGCACACCTGGGGCAGGTGCTCAGATCCGGCAGTGCCCACTCACTTGCCCGCTCACCTGCCCACTCAGCTGCCCGCTCACCTGCCCACATGGCTGCCCCTGCTGCTCATCCACTCCCACCGCGTGCTGCCACTGGGCTGGCCCTTGGGGACACACAGAGGCAGTCCCCCGCCTGTGGAGCTTAGGGTCTGTGGCCCTGAGCTGATGGGGCCACAGCTGAGGCTCAGCCTCGCTCCAGAGCCTCCAGCTCACGGGTCTGTGCCCCCCCCACCCCCACAGGCGGAGCAGCAGCTGGTGGACTGTGCCAAGGATTTCAACAACCACGGCTGCCAAGGGTAGGTCCTGGCCGGGAGGGCCTGCTCCCTTCTGCCACTTCTCCGGGACCTCACCACCCCGCCCAGGTGGTGGAGAAACGGTCTCCATTGCGGGGGTGGGGTCCCCTCTCATCGCTGGGTCTCTTGGCCGGGCCGGGGCAAACCTGGAGTCTGAGACCAGGCCTGTCTCCCTCCAAAATCCGTCCTCTTCCTCACCCCACTCCCGAGGCCCCTGGGCGAGAGGCCAAAGGAATGAGTGAGTAGAGTGAGAGACACGTCGTCATCGCACATCATCCTCCAAAACAGGCCCGGGCAAGGTCTGGGCAGGCGGGCCGCAGACAGGTGCCCCGAGGGCCTGGCACCCGGCTTGGCCGCTCTGCAGGGCCCCTCCCCGCCCACGTGGGGAAGGTCCATGCGGGGGCCTGTGGCCGGTTGGGCCTGCTTTCCCGCCCACCCTACCGCGGTTGCTGGGAATTGGCTCTCGTTTCTACACGACTCCGGTCCTCACCTTCCCCACACCCGGGGCGCTCTGAGACATTCCGTGGGACCGGGTCAATTTCCGGGCGCCTGACGTGCGCAAAGCCAGGCCCACCCCCCACCCCCGCCCCGCACAGCGCCAGCCCCTCTGTCGGCTGCAGGGTCCCCTCCCGCCTCCCCCAGCCCCAGCCTTCTGCGCTGGGAGCTGCCGGGCAGCGCGAAGTCCTTGCGCCCTGCGCGGGGACCTGCATCCTGCTCTGCGCCCCTCGCCCGGGTCTCCTTTCCTCCGCGGGGTAGAAATTCCACCCCTAGCGGGAGCCTGGCCCCGGGCGTGCAGGGCTCCCCACGTTTCCGTCTGTCGGCTGTGGTTGGGGGGACCCTTCCTTTCCTCACGCAGGCGACAGACGACAGGCAGCGCCACCCGCCACACGTGTGGGCTCCGGGGCCGCCGGCCCCGCCCGGCAGCGGCCTGGCTCCGAGGCGTCTCTGCCCCACTGAGGCACATTGTCCGGTCCTTGGACTCCAGCGGCCTTACCTGACTTCACTGAGCTTATCTTTGAGCCACGCATACCGGGCCACGTGGCCAGAGACCCCCAGAGACCTTCCTACCACCGGGACATGCCCGGCAGGACCCCAGTCTGCCAGGGCGACATCTGTCCAGCTGCAGCCCCTGCCCCTCTGGGATGGTCCCAGGTGACACCTGTGTGTGCTTCCCGCAGGGGCCTCCCCAGCCAGGCCTTCGAGTACATCCTGTACAACAAGGGCATCATGAGCGAGGACACCTACCCCTACCAGGGCAAGGTAATCCTGGGCAGCCGGCTCTGTCTTCGGGCTCCCCTGCGCCCCACCTGCACCCGACCCAGCCTCAGGAGGGATCCTTCTCCCCACCCCCCAACCTCAGCCCGGCCCCACTGGAGTTCTCAGAACAGTCTGCACCCTTCAGAGTCCCCCCCGCCGCTTGGGTCCAGCCGTGTCCCTGCTCTGCGCTCGGACCTGGGTCTCCGGTCTCCGGGTCACGGAGCGTGGCCTCCCCCGGCCTCTCGCACCCCACCCTGACCACACGCCTGCCTGGGGTTCAGAACCCTGCAAAGACTCCGCAGGCCTCAGGGCCAAGCCCAGACTCTTAGGCCCAAATCAGTCCTTACCGTCACCTCTCCTCTGTTCTCACGCCCAGGCCCCCACGGTCCCGAACCCCAGGCCTCTGCCCTCCCCCCACCCCCGCCCCTGTCACCCCAGCCCCTCTCCTGCCTCCCTCCTGCGACCGACCGCACCTCTGCGCCCGCCCCTTGGCGGCGGTGTCCCTGGCCAGGCCCCCAGGCTCTGCCAAGGCCAGTGCGGGACCGTCCCGGCCACCGCCCCTGGGCTCCCCAGGACAGCGCGCTCCGGTTCTCTCCGAAGCAGCCACCCAGCCCTGGCGCGTGGGGTTCTGCTCAGCGAAATGCACCAAGCTGTGCGGGGCGGCCGGGGTGTCGGCCTCGGGCCAAGTGACCCTGACCTGTGCCTGTGCCCTTTGCCCCCGAGCAGGACGGGACCTGCAGGTTCCAGCCGGGAAAGGCCATCGCGTTCGTCAAGGACGTGGCCAACATCACCATGGTGAGTGCGGTCCGGCCCCGGGCGGGGGGCGTGTCTGCGGGTCCCGGGTCGGTGGCGGGGCAGCCTCCCCTCGGCGGGACAGTCCGGGTCGTGGGTGGCTCCGTGGCCGGACGGCAGCGCGGGGTACGCGGGGCACAGACTGGCCGGTGACCGCCCTGGTCCTGGCTCGGGTCTGCGTCGCGTCTCCCCGACTGTGGCTCTGTCTCCCCGTCCAGCGAGCGCAGCGAGGCCCCGTCCTGTGGGCCATGCGTTGTGCGGGGAGCCCGTGCGTGCGCGGGGGGGGGGAGCCGTCGTGTCGGGGGGGGCGGCGTGTGTGCGCTGGGCGGAGCCGTGCCGGGGGGCGGGGGGCCGTGCGTGCGAGGGTGGGGCCGTGCACCAGGGGCGGGGAGGCCCCGTGCATGCGCGGGGGGGGGGGGGGCCGTGGTCGGTCCGGGCACGGGAACAGCCCAGCCCAGGCCGGACGGGCTCACGCCTCAAAGGGACGTGGCTGGGCAGGGGACGCCGCGCTGGTCCGTGGCCTCACCCCAAGGCCACGCAGGGGACAGCGCGGTGCATGAAGCCGGCTCTGCGCCAGACGAACTGCGCAGTCGCACTGACCCTTGGGGACAGGGACGCGCAGTTGCAAGAGAACAGCCCCCCAGAGCCCTGAGTGCCGGAGGGCGTGTGGGGCGCGGGGGACCCCCACCTGGTGTGCAGGTGTGCGCCCACGATCGTGCGCAGGTCACAACGTGACGTCTGGCGGTGACAGTGTCTGCCAATGACGCGCGTGCCAACTTCTCAGCAATGACAACAGTTGCAGTTTGGTGGTGGACTCACAGGTCCTGCGCTAGCCGCTGAGCATTCACTGTCCCCTCAGTCAAATAACCCGGGAGACGGGTGTCATTGTCACCTTGGTTTTACAGATGAGGAAACAGGGCTCAGAGTGGTCAAGTGGCGTGCTCAAGGCCACAGAGCCGGGGAGGGAAGCCGAGTTTGAACTGACAGCGTGTCCTCCGGGACCTGGGCCACCGCCCCCACGGCCTCAGCCACCCCCCAGGACCAGGGCCACCGCCCCCACGGCCTCAGCCACCCCCCAGAACCAGGCCCAGGCCCACCGCCCCCACGGCCACACCCACCCCTCAGGACCAAGGCCACCACCCCCACGTCCTGCTCAGAAGCCCCACAGCCCTTTGCTGGTCTCCCCTTGTTTCCACCACACCTGGGGCTTACCTGTCCCCAGGGTCTCAGCCTCCGTGTTCCACCTGCGACCCCCTGCAGATGGGCTCTGTGGGCATCCTGGGCGGGAGTGGGGACGCCAGCCGATAGTTGTGAGGGACCGAATGCGGGGTCCACGCTGCACCCCGTGGCCCCGTCCCAGAGGGCGTGGGGCTCCCTGGAGCAGGGCAGGGAGGGGGCAAGACGTGACCCGACACACCCGCCCTCGAAGGGTAGGGGGAGGCCACAGGGAGCCAGTGCGGTGTGGGAGGGAGGACTCGCCCCCAAACAGAAAACCCGGGGGATCCCGGCTGTCCAGGCAAACAGGCGGCACCTCCGTCCCAGGCTCCTGGGGGCCGCCCTGGACCCCGCCCTCCTCCTGGTCACCTGTGCTGCTCCGGGCTCCCAGCCCCTGCCTGGAGGCCAAAGGCTGCGCTCCGGGCGTGGCGGGCTGACGGAGACCACGTGCGCACGCGTCGGTGGGTTTTTATCCGCAGAACGACGAGCAGGCGATGGTGGAGGCCGTGGCCCTGTACAACCCCGTGAGCTTCGCCTTCGAGGTGACGGACGACTTCCTGATGTACAGACGCGGCGTCTACTCCAGGTGCCCGCGGGCGGGCGGGGTGCGGCTGGGCGGCCCGGGGACTCCGGCTCCTGGTGGGACCAGGGTGCCCCTCCCGAGTGCCGGTGTCCTGCACCCTCCCGCGGAGTCCCGGTGGCCTCGTCTCCGCAGAGGGGAGAGGCTGGGGGAGGTGCCGGCCGGGGCAGGGGTGCGGGCAGGGGTGCGCGGGGCTCCGTGCGCCCCTGCAGAACAGCCGCCTCCTCCAGTTAGGGAACCCACGCTCGGAGCGTGAGGGTGCAGGGAGTGGGGGGCGCCGCTCCCAAGCCAGGGTCCCGAGCTGCAGGAGTCGCTGGAGGCAGCTTCGGGAAGACCGAGCTCCCCGGCACTTCGTGTGGTCTCCTGTCTTTTGACACTCTGAAACTGAGGGCCGAGCTCCCCAGGGCTCCGCCCTCGGCCACCTAGTGCTCCGGTGCTGCAGTGACCCCTTAGCAGGTGTTAAGGGCAGGGCCAGGTGTTTGGCCCACAGCAGGTATTAACGCTATGGCCAGGTGTTTGCCCTGTTGCCAGGTGTTAACCCCACAGCCAGGTGTTAACCCTACAGCCAGGTGTTTGCCCCATCACCAGGTGTTAACCCCACAGCCAGGTGTTTGGCCCACAGTAGGTATTAATGCCACTGGCCAAGTGTTTGCCCCAGGGCCAGGTGTTAACCCCAAGGCCAGGTGTTATACCCATGGAAGGTGTTAGTCCCCGCCAGGTGTTAATCCCACAGCCAGGTGTTTGGGGGTCTGGAGGTGAGGAGTGTCAGAATACACTGCTGTCTTCTCAGCCAGTGTCTTAGCCTGGCTGGGCCTCCTGACCTGCTGCCCCCGCCCCCCCTCAAGCTCATCTGCCAACAGCCCCCCCACCCCCACCCCCGCTGGCTTGGGTGGCCCTCCTGGGCCCGCTGCCCCACACCCCCACCCCCGCTGGCTTGGGTGGCCCTCCTGGGCCCGCTGCCCCCCACCACCACCACCGTCTCAGCCCTGGGGCCACTCTCTACCGAGCAGCTTCCGAGGGACAGCAGAGTCCTGTGCCCGGCCCAGGCCCCCGCACGGCCGTGGCTCAGCTGCACATCAGCCGAATTCACGCCTGACCTGCGCAGTTTGTCCCTTGAGCTCCTTGGCGCTTCCGGGTGGAAGCTAGCTCACCAGCGTGCACGGAAAACTGGCGTTTTTGCCACAACTATAAAGTCGTCTTTAAAATAAGTGCAGTGGCAGCAGAGCAGCTATCCCCATGAGGAAGGAGGCTGGAGACACCTGTGTTAGGGCCGGGCCGGCACCCGGCGAGACTGTCTCCCACGGTGAGGGATGCGTCCACCGCCGCCTCACCTGCCCCAAAGCACAGCAGAGCCCCGAGGGGGGCCGAGTGAGCACCTTCATCCTTTGCGCATGTTCAGCCCTTTTCTGTTTGCCTCCTAGCACTTCCTGCCATAACACTCCGGACAAAGTGAACCACGCGGTGCTGGCGGTGGGGTACGGGGAGGACAAGGGGACGCCCTACTGGATCGTGAAGAACTCCTGGGGCTCCCAGTGGGGCATGAACGGGTGAGGACCGTGGCCCCGGCTGGGGGTGGGGGTCGGGAGCCCTGGGGGCGTCTCCTCCCCGCCAGGCTGTCGGCTTCCGGAAGGAGCCGGTCCCCAGAGCCCCGCCAGGCAGGGGGAGGGGACAGGGAGAATGTGACCTTCTCACCCAGACCCCCCCAGCTGCTCCTCACGGGCCAGGCCCCCACGGCTCTGCGCAGGGAGCAGGGGCTGGAAGGGTCTGTCACCACTGCCACGCGGGACCCCGCTGGGGCAGGACGCCAGTTCAGGGAGGGCCGCCCCTCTTTGGGAAATCAAGGCACCAGATTCATCCTGATGATGGACAGCCCCTCCTTGGAGGAGAGAAAGGCTGGAATCGGGAGGCTGAGGGTGTGTGTTGAGGTGACTTTGTCCAGTTCTCCTCCCAGAAGGAGAACTTCCCTGTCACCCGGGGACCTGGGGCTGATTAAGTGGCTGGGGGAGGGTCCAGCCGGGGTGAGAAGGGGCCTCGCCAGCTCTCAGAGAAGTGTTTGGCGGCCAAGGCTAAGGGAGCGTAAATTGTTCACAGAGTCATGCCCGTAGTTTCCTGGTGGTAAGATAAGCCCAGTGCCACTGCTTTGTGAATAAATTCAGAGGCCCTAATCCCTGGAGTCAGATCTCAGTGAACGGCAAACACGTTCCGGAACGTTCCAGAACGTTCTGGAACGTTCCGGAACATTCCGGAATAGTGCGGAGGAAGCCCCTGGCCAGGCCTCAGCTCGTCTCTCTGCGCAGGTACTTCCTCATCGAGCGCGGGAAGAACATGTGCGGTCTGGCCGCCTGCGCGTCCTACCCCATCCCGCTGGTGTGAGCCGCGGCGGCCTCGGTTGGCCGGCGGAGAAGGAGCGTCCTGGGCCCGCGGTGGAAACCCTGTCCAGAGAAGCTGTGGGGAGACCCCGGGGCCGTCTGTCCCCACCCTCACCCTACGCTGAGCCAGGAACCTGGGAAAGAGGGAGAAGAGTGCAAGCTCACCCTCATCTTCTGACGGAAGACGCCACCAGCCTGTGCCTTACGCGCGGTTTTTAACCGCTCAAACCACGTGGACTGAGGCCCTCTTCCCAGAGGGCTCCGCCTGCCGAGGAGCCCAGCGACCGTCCCGTCCCCTCTGTGTTCTTTGCTCAGTAAACGCGCAGTGAGCACCTCCCAGGGCCCGGCCTGTGCTGCGTGCGCGACCGCCTGGGGCCCGGTCTGCGGGAGGGAAGCGCCACGCCACGGGGTGCCCAGGGCTCTGGCCCCAGCAGGGCACGGAGGTCGGGGTTCCCGGGAGGAAGAGCAGGTCTCGCTTCAGCTCTTGACCATTCACCCCAGACCTGTGTGAGGAGGGCGGAGGGAGCGGCAGGTTCTTTCTTTGGGATGTGAGCTGCCGTGGCATCAGCACTCGCTCACAGCAAACTTAGACTCCTGGCCAGCGCGACTCCTCCTGGCCTCAGCCTCCCGAAGTGAGCTGGGACTAACAGACCGCCGCCCACATGCCTGCCTACCATTTTTTTTCTATAACATATTTAGGGTATGCAATTAATTTCTGTTCTTATTTATACGTAAGCATGATGGCCTCGCTCTCCAGGCTAGTTTCTCGAACATCCTGACCTCAGCAATCCACCCCACCTGGCCTCCTCCAGACGTGCTACGGATGACAGGCGTAGACCGCACCACAAGTGCCAGCCTAGGCCC